AGTAAAGGCCTTTAGCCCCTCCGTCGGGCAGGTCCTGGCGCCACCACTGCTCGCATGACTCGCTGGCTCGCACTTTGGCACTACTCCTTTTGTCATTACGTACGGCTCTTTTTCAACATTACGTTTGGCTCTTTTATCATGGGTGTCTATAAAACGAAGACCAAAAACCAAAAACGAAGACTCCTATTTTTTCTCTTTTATTTTGATGATTAACGAAGACCTCCAATTATTTCTCAATTACCTTACTGATCTGGTCACCCAGGGTAAAGGAGAAATAAATAAATAACATGATATTAAAATTTACATTTGCTGCCATAATCATAATGTTGTTCTTACCTCAGCCCAACCATATTGTGGGGGGGGGGGGCTCAGGTAGGTGTACACTCTATCTGTGCAAGTCCCTCCCTTTATTTCGAATTCCTGTTGAAGTTACATTTCATGGCTCTTAGATGTGTACCGCAATTGTATCCTTCGGGGGAAAAAATGAAGGTTTCGTTTGGGAATACCGCCCGTTTGAATAAGCGCCCCTTTTAATTTGAATAAGCGCCCCTCATAAGATTTTATTTTTAGCAAGTCAATAATCCAATTAATCCTGAGACTGTGGTTGTTTACATGATTTGAGCTGTAGAGTGGAAACACCTTCTTCAGTCAATATCAAAATAAGATGGGAGCTCCGATCCCTGGACAGACAGTATATTTCCAACTTTAATATTTTTACATATTTGTCTATGTCTAGTCCTACTCCTCTTTTACTTTTTTCGACCTTAAGCACATTCTCATCTGAGTTTTCAAGAAAAATACAATGATCCTGCCATCCTGCTAATCTCAAGCAAACCACTACCCACCACTATAAATTGCATCTGCTATTTTGCTGTTATGTAAATATTCACGCATTCTTGTTATGACCCACCCATGTTCTCTGGACGATTATCTTTTCTAACCACCATTCGTAATGTCCTTAGGCTTACCGGTATATAATCTTTTTTTTTCATTAAAAAAGTGCCTCTGGAATTTGTCATTATTAAAATAATTTCCCTTAAGAACCCCTCGATTTTCATCTATTGCCATAAGCGCCCCCTCAATTTCCACTGTGTTTTCATAAGCGCCCCGTTTAAATAAGCGCTCCGTTTGAATAAGCGCCCCTCAGAAAGTTCAAAAAAATATTTTAAGCGCCCGGGCGCTTATTCGCGCGAGTACGGTAATTCATTGTGATCGTGGAAGCAATCTCGGATATTACAACAATTATGAAGATTACAATACCTTGATGTCTATAAAATAACTAATAAAATTCACCAAACGTATGAGAAATTCGAAAGTATAATACATACCGGTACTCCAAGTATTGAAATACACGCCATCGTGTGTTGGGATTCAATATTTCGAATTTAATTATGTCATCATCAGGAATGAGAAATTCATTTTCCAAAACAATGAGACCATGGTAAGGCTATTTTGGGTATATGGCTAGCTATACTAAATCCTTCAGATTTATCTCGGACTATCGACAACGGCGGCGGAACGCTGAAAGTCGGGAGCATTTGATAAAGTAATAAATCCAGTAGGCCTATGCGAGCGTCTATAGACAGGGAGCCGCCAATGCTAATGGCCCCGGTAAAGGCATTGATTCGAATAAACGCTCCTGACCGAATAAACGCCCCCGCTAGGGCATCACTGGAAACAGCAATACAGACCAGCGTGACCACTCAAATTTTTCGATATACCCAATGACTGGGTCGAAATTAACCAAGATTCAGCAAAAATTTTCCAAAATTACCCAAGCTTCCTAAAAATGCATTAAAATTTGAAAAGTACGTGTTTTTCGCATGTATAGTTTCCCTTTTAGTTCAATTTATAAACCATATTTTATTGTAATTGTTTGTGATAATTATTAAAATTAATATTCATGAGGTGATAATACGGATAGAAAAATACGCCCTCAGTCAGCCAGTATTATTATTACTTTAAGTTAAAATTATTTTTTATTTATTCGCATATATTTATGTACATGTGTATATGAATATATATTTATGAGTGCATGTATGTACTGTATTTGTTTGTGTAAGTATATATGTGTATGTGAATGTATGTGTGTGTATGTATGTGTATATATATGGACCCTTGTGTGTATGTATGTGTGTATATATATATATATATATATGTATATATATGTGTGTATATTGTATATATATATATATATATATATATGTATGTATATATTTATATGAGTGATTGTATGTGTATTTATTTATTGAACTCATTTATTTAATTACTGTACATGTTTTTTAATTTTACGTATACATTTTTATCTTTTAACAGGGGTCAGGGTGGGTGGGGGGTCTGTCCAGTATCTTTTCATGTATTTAGTTTTCTTTGTCCAGCGTTAATTCATTAGGTTTTAATTTTATTTTTTAATTTTGCTCTTTCTGAACTAATTATATTTTTCATTACTTGTTTTCTGTTTTAATTTTCATTATTTTCCTTGTATTTTCGTGGTTTTAAGTTACATCTTATATATTGTTTGAACGCACCTTCTATATGTCGTGTGCCGCTGTTATAAAAGCGTTGTTCAATAAAGTTCTGTACATTCAGTGATCAAGTTTTATTATGTAATGCATTAAAGGTAAGATCAATAGCAGTGACGCAAATCACAAATAAATAATTCTGAACCCATGTTTATAGCAATTAACAGTCAATTAAGAATGTTATGTGCACTTCGTTGAGTTTTGCTTACTTGAATGGACTGAAATATACTTTGTTACATTTTAATTTTTCCCCTATGACAAAAATATTTAATTTTTTTAGTAAACTTAAAATACCCAAGGATTGCAACGGAATACACAAGAACCCAAGACCAAGTTAAAATACCCAAGATCTTGGGTAAATACCCAAGCAGTGGTCACGCTGAAACACACTCAGTGCACTGAATGACGTCACGCATGAATCGGCGTTTCTATTAGCTAATCATGACGGAATACCCAAGACCATAGAGAAAATAGAACTGTTCTATTTTCTCTATGCCAAGACCAAGTCAAATACTCAAGATCTTGGGTAAATACCCAAGCAGTGGTCACGCTGATACAGACTGAAACGCCTCCACACGATACACGCCATTAAATGACTGTAAATAAATCTAATAGAAGCAAAATCATTCTCAACATATTTTATTAATATTCTACTCCAATTAATTTGTAGTGTTTAAACGTAAAGGAAAAATAGAGGCTGCCCAAGGGATAACATGGGATAAAAGAGGGAGTTTACAGTAAGTTTATACAGTGACAAGTCGCCAATCAAATGTTTATAAATAGCGACCTCAACGGGCGGTGATTGTTTGATGGCTCAACTGGCCCACGCCCACCTAACCTTATTCCCATCTCTCTCATCATTCCTATCGTCTGAATTCCTAATGAAAAAGAGTGGTTTCCAGCCATGTAAGACATGCCATAGATATGCAAGTTCGTTCCTACCTCAGCCCAACCACGGTGGGGCTGAGGTGGTACCGGGAACCCCTGTATCTGTAAACTGAATTTTTTCTCACCATTTATTCTTTACGGCACAAAGAATCAAGGAACATTATTAAAGTATGCGTCATGCGTGAGACCACGTAGGCCTACTTGTACTGTACTATATATCACAAGGAATGCCGGTGTAGAGTACCGGGAGGTAGTTTTTAATAATGAGTTATTGATATATCAGACACATCGCATAGGCGGATTCAAGCAAGCGCGTGAGTGGGCGAACAGGAATTGTCACGGCAATTTCTAATTTTCTCGGCGGAAGTGAGTTATCGCAGTTGCGGTAATTTTCTTCTGCTTGTGATTTTTACGCGACATATAATTTAAGTTGTTTGAATCATAGTGTCTTTTTTTTTATTCCAGTGACCTTTTTCTAAAGTTTTGACTTGTTTGTTTTAAATTGTTTGGTGTAAAATTTGCTCTAACCTTCTCAGCTCCCTCGAGACATTTGACGTCCGCAAAATAGAGAGCTGCTCCTTATAAACGTAAGCTCATAATATTATACCGTACACAATATAAACCAGAGCCTTGCAAGCGTCAACGTTCCTATGCATGATACATGACTTTAAGAAGTATATATACGTATATATATATATATATATATATGTATATGTATACATATATACAAATATATATTATATATATACATATATATATACATATATACGCATATATATATACATATATATACGCATATATATACACATATATATATATACGCACATATATACATACGTATATATATATATATATATGTTTATGTGTGTATATATACTTATATATTAGTGTATATATATAAGTATATAAGAATATAAGTGTATATATAAGTATATATATCAGTATGTATATATATATACATATATATATAGACCTATATAAGTATATATGTAAGTATGTGTATATATGTATATATATATATATAAGTATGTATATAAGTATGTATATATGTATATATAAGTATGTATATATGTATATATATATAAGTATGTATATATGTGTGTATATATATGTAGATATATAAGTATGTATATTTATGTATATATATAAGTATGTATATACATATATATGTATATATATTATGTATATATGTATATATTTGTATGTATATATATAATATATATACATACTTATATATATATATATATAAGTATATATATATAGATTAAAAGGCGAAATACTGAAAAACAACAATGCTGTGGGAAACAATGGCTGGATCTCAGTAGAGATACAAAAATGATAAGCAACAGCTAACGCAGAGTTTTTCAAGACATTGTGGACCATCCAAAACTTTCTCCAAGTTTGATTTAGATTTATGATTTTAAATTTATTAAATTATTAATTATTATTTGGAAAGCTAGATAGTCGTTATGTACCCGACAGTCGGCTGCATTTATATTTTCACCTGTTTTCAGTTTGCATTCAAAGGGTACATTGCTGCATAGCCAACTGTCGGGGATATAGTACCTTCATATGACTACTCATACGTATACAACAGAAAAAAACGTCGCATGGACTTAGTGAAAAATGGAGATCTAAATGAAAAAACGATGTATTTCAGCAAGTATTAAAACCTTTTAGTTTTATTTTAGGCCTTCTTCAAAATACCTATGCCTACAGCAGTTGACTTCTTTTGCCGTAAAACCAAAATAGTTTCATCCATGCCGACTTTCGGTTAGCGTGAGCTCTGACTGAACTCTGCAGAAACTTCACATCGATCTTCGCATCGCGATGTAAAACAAAATGTCGGAAAACTTTTCGTTGACGCATGCGCAATTGCATAAATGTCTACACGCACACGCACACACACTACACACAATAAAAAACATAGGAAATAGCAAGAGTGATTACAATAGTTCCTATTGCATTACATGCATAGGAACTAAAAAGCATGGTGTGTGTGTGTGTGTTAGAAATAAACATCAAACGTCAAAGAAAGAGTTGACATATTTAAAAACGCAAATATACCTTATTTTAACGAATGTTTAGTTCTCTTTTTAAGGACATATATTACCATGACCATAACTGATTTAAGTAATCAAGAAATGAAACGTCAAAATATGAAAGTTAAAAGAATAATATGAATTGACTCTATATAACGTGCTATATTTTCCATTTCTTATTAATGTACTAAATGTTTTATGAATACCTGTATCTGTATACAGGTTTTAACTATAAGAAGGCTAATGCGATATAAAAAATATTTTTTCAACAAATATATACATTTTTACTGTACTCAATCATAAACTAAGTACTGCACAGTAAAAATATATACATTTTTACTATACTTAGTTTATGATTGACGTAATTTTAACGTGAATAAAATAGTGTATTTGTAGAACAATATTAAGACTTTGGAATGTTTGTGTTAATGTTAGTCATAGAGTATTACTGTACTTCTACTCTTCGCATGAACATGTTTCTTTGATACCATGCACGCGTTCATGCTTATTTCTTTCACTACTTAAAGAGAACGTTTCTTTGCAGAATACGCATGCGTGTTCTTTCCCCATCGTGTGGGCTCTTTCATGACGTTTAAGATTTTCCATGTTTTTAAATTCTCTGTTGCAGTGAGTACATTGTGTCGTGCCATTTGTTTTCTTTTCACGAGGGTGATTTATAAGGTCAATTTCAGAATTACAAGCGCTTTTTAACCTGTTTACATCCTTGGATTCAATTTCATTACCATCGTCTCTACTACTGTCCGTAACATTTTTTATCCCACACTCCTTCACATTGTGATTTTCCAGATGGTTTTCTTTATGTGTATTTTCTCCATCATTTAATGCCATACGTCTCTGAACCTTGTCTGGTGGATCATCAATGCTTGTGAGTGCAAAATTAATAGACGGGCACAAAGTATGATGTGTAGGTTTATGAGACTCCAACTTTGCAGGACTGATGAATTTCTTGTCACAAAGATGGCATGGAAAGAGTCGAATACTTGTTAGTTTTGTTCTTGCGAAAGAAGACTTTTGATGTACTTTGTAATCGTGTGTTATATTTCCAGTGTATTTCTCAGAGTTGTTAACCTTACTACTTGGTATTTCTTCTCCCTTTAAAAGGGAAGTATCTGCTACTACTTCCTTAGCACAACCACGGACCTGTTCAGAAGAGCTACTAGGCGTTTCTCGACATAGTTTGTAAATGGAAGTATCTGTTTTCACTCCCGTAGTATCATGGCTCTCCCCAGATGAACTATTGGCACTTTGAATTAAGGTGTTACATCTATCTATTTCTTTTCCTTTCGTATATACCATTTTCGCTGAAGGTGTTTCTCGACATAGTTTGTTAATGGAAGTGTTTGTTACCACATCCTTTGCACAAGGAAAATGGTTCCCATTGGAAGACCGAATGTTTCTTAGGAATGAAGTAATATGAGTATCTATTTCTTTTTCTTTCATAGATGATAACATTTCCTTTTGAGGCGTTTCTTTACATGGTTGGCAAATGCAAGCATCGATTACCAATTCCTTGGTAGAAATAACAGGACTTAGCTGAGACGAGCTACTGTTGCTTACTACTGAGGTAGTAGTAGGCATGTCTTTCTTTGTACTCTTAACTACTCTTGAAGCAGACTTCTTTTTCTTGTGCGGTGCCTCTATCAAGATTGTGAGATTTTTACCTTGAAAATGTTTTGATAGGGAAGAGGCACATGGCACTGTGTTTGATTTGGGAATCACGTTGTCTTTAGTATCTTTCCTTCCATTTATTCTCTCCATTTTTAATCGTTTTACTATCTCCGCTAGTTTGATCTGTGCCTCTGTAAGCTTGGGTCTCGACCTTTTCTTTGTACTCGATTGTGAAGTTGCTTTCATGACATCACTTGAATTTGACAGGAGCCGTTTTGGCGTCGTCACTAAACCCCGCTCTTTGTCTTTTATCGCTACAGAAACATCTTCAACAAAGCAAACCATCTGTTTCCGTGGTGAAACCTCGTGTTTGAAAGCAGATCTTGGGCTTTTCAAAATAGACTTTAACGCGTCTTTTGACATTTCCGACTTCTTCATTGGGCTGTGGTTAAACGAAAAACAAAATCTCTTTTTTGGCGGTAAATATTCAGCAGCAGTTTCTTTGTCTTTGTTTTCCTTTTTGGATACAGTTTCAATTGTATCTTTGGTGTGAATTCTGTCAGGTTTGGACGTCGGCAAAGAACATGCCCTTTGCAAGTGTTCATGTTTGCTACTAACTTTCCTGACAGGCATTTCTTCTGGTACATTATTTTCTTTCAGAGTGTTGTAATGTTTAAACCAGTTTTTAAAATTATCTGTCAATGTTGGATTATATTGTTTCATCGCACCATTGATTACCTCCTCGTCACTGACACAATCAGTCTCTTTGCCTATTATTCTTTTGACTGTTTTCTTTAAGGTCTCTGCATTAGTTCCATTTGTATCACTTTCCATCGACTTCGCTACATGGACGCGCGCACTGGAATCATCAATTAGTGTTCCAGGTTGTTTAGAAGTCTTGTTAGACGAAGTGTTAACAGTTACTGTAAACGTATGCGGCCAACGTGTTTTGGCTTGACAAACAGATGTAGCAAATGTGGATTTGAAAGAATCAAGACATTTTTGGAACTCGCCAAATAATGACCGTTCTGATGCAAGTGTTGTGGACTCATTAATTTCCGGATTTCGTTCATTGCAGTCGGATACTGAAACTCGATCATTCACAATAACTTCTTTAACTGAAGACCGGAAAGGTAAGATGGGTTTATCCTCAGTTACTGTGTTTGTTTTGGAGTTATCACGGGTTGAATTCTGTTGACAATTAGTCTGATCATGAACTGCGTGATTCAAATCATTTTGATCACTGTCATGTTTGCGGCACTGTTTCTCATGTCTATTATTTCTGACCAGATCCATGTGTCCCAAAACCCTGTTTTGACCATAATTGCCATCTTCGTGTGTGTATGTAAACTGACATCCAGAAAAATTCTTAAAGCACGACTGAAATTGTGATGTAATACGACCTTTCCTTTTCTTAATGGTACTCGTTCCTCGCCGAATGTCTCTTCTTCCTTCGGTAATTGGAAAGATGGTCTCCTGACGCGTACAATGCTTCTTTGAACTGCTGATTGTAGATGTGCGTTGTGGGAAACGCCACTTTAAATACCTTGACCTTTCGACCATCCTCTTGATTTTTCTACTGTCGACCATCCCAGTTTTTTTGCTGCACATCCACAATCTTGAATAAAATGGAAAACATCAAATTATCATAAAGACATGAACATTACAATAGCTTAATAATTAATACCATTTTGATAATGTATTAATTATTAATGCTCTAAGCATTGGTTCTATTACGCCCAGAAATCGTATTTGTGGATATAGTATTTATTACTACATTAAATTTTAATTTAATATAACAAAACAAATACGTTAATCTAATTAAGTATAAAATATTAACACAACATACAGTTGTCAAAACTGTCAGCCACAAATACAGACTTACATAACATTAGGATTTTATACAATAGATAAATATTGAATAATTAAAATCGTATACATTTAATTCATACAACATACGAGATCATCATCACTAGACATTGCAGCCACTGAAAGTCGATATTGTGAAATGAATTATAAATGTGTTGATATATATGTTTTTGACAACCAAGTGGTAAGATTAACTCTTATTGGTGGCTCTTATGCTAGCGGCTGTTCCAGCCATAATAAGGGTTTCCCACATCCATTTGTTTTTATATTTTCAGTACTGTGATACTGTTATATTTTACTGTATTTGCTTTTATTATTTGGATCATATAAAAATGTCTCAGTCCGAGTCTTAGCACTTTTCTGTGTAAGGTATACAATTTTTTTATTTCTTTATTTTTTTAAATAAAAGAAATTAAGTAAAATATTGTTTGATGAAGGTCTGTATGGCGAAGTAATAATATAAATCTTGCCTATTGCACACAGCAATAGGCAAGATGATCACGAATCTGGAAAGTCTGTATGTTTACCATATGGGACAGCTTCACACCGTATTCAACGCATTCTACAAGCTGATATGAAGGTTTTTTATAGTGCACCCAACAAATTATCCCCACTCTTCCTACACACAAGGATAAAGTTTACACAGGTGAAATAGGACCCAAGCAACACCAAGGCCCATGCTAGAAGAGGGGAACAACAAAAACCATTTATAGTCATACACTTTCTCCAACAACAACATCGTGTATGCTGGGATGAAGCCGAAGTGATAGCCGGTGGCGATTTTTTTCCCCGTACGAAACATTTACATGAAACACCACTCGGGCCCTCTCGACTGAATCGACCCGAAAATCTCATATTGCAGAATTCAGGAGGTCAAAAAGTCATCTACAGAAACGTCTACAAAAACATCTTCTGAGTGAACGTCGCTCGATCGCTGTCTGATTTTTAAAAATACATTGGTGTTACCATGCTAATACTAATGGGTCGTTTAAAATGACATAAATATTTGATTGAGCTGCACGAGTAATGAAAAGTGTTATTTGAACTTGAGTTACATACTGTGACAATTTTTATTTTTTAGTTAGGTCTGGGTTTTGCATAATTACCTAGGCCTACTAACTACTAACAATATAGGCCTACGCTTTCTGAGGAAAGCACAAAGAGGCGGGAAAAGCGCGTTTCTTCATCAAATGAAACAAGGTGATATTCTGAGAATAGGCAGCTCTAAAATACTGGATGCCATAAGACCTGCCAAAATGGCAGAGCACCAATGAACGTATAAATGAGGCCTAAGCCTAGTTTTTAATATTAGGCATAGTAATCTGCAGGTTCTTGATTATAAGGCTAGACCAAGTTAATTAATGAAGAAATGATTATTATTATATATTATTATTATATTACTAAAACATACCTGGAGAACTTAGACAATGGAGAAATTAGAGGACATAACAAGATATTCCCCTTGGGCTAATTATTAATTATAGGCCTAGTAAATAGTATCTGTAGGTTCTTAATTACAAGACCAAGGTAATTAATGCTGAAATTATTATGATTATTATCATTATTTAACATTAATTACATTACATGGATAGTTTGGCCAAATTCAATAACGCCGGAATGGTATATATTATTTAATAATATTTCTCTTATGCACTCTATTTTTTATTTCATGTTTCATTTTTTCCATTTTTTTTTCAAAATTTCATGTGAAGCGTGACTGTTGGTGTCAGCCTACGACTCTAGGCCTAGTTTAGGGAGGATCTATGTAGGACTTAACTAAGCCTGTAGTTAGGCCTATAGTAGTTTATCCTCTTTCTCTCTAGCCTTTGGTATTACTGTACCTATCTACACTTTATAAAAGGGGTACTAGCTGTTGTTGTAGATAATAATAATAATATTATTTTTATATAAAATCAATCATAAAGATTAAGATCAGTATTATATTTTATTTCACTTTCCTTAAGAGGATTTTGTTCTTACCCCGAAAATTGTTGGTCCGGGTCCCCAGTAGACCCGGGACAGCGACCCCCCATGACACCC